CGGTCATCCAGACTGACAGCCATCACCACCTCCCATGGCAGCAAATGCTACAGTTTAGGTATCTGCTATGTGAAGAAGTGCTTCCTTTTCTCTGTCCTAGACCTCCCGTCCATCAGCTTCATGGGATGACCATGAAGTGGGAGAAGAAGAAAAATGTCCCTGTCTCTATCTCATGCATTATTTTAAAGAGAGGAGAACAGGAAAAGTTGGTTGGTCTGTTGCAACCCAAATCCTGCACCTCCTCTAGCGAGAGACAGATCTTGATATTCACTGTGAAGAATGCCTCCCTTATTCCTCTGGGGTTCTCTTTGGATGCAGCCATTAAGCCAGATGGCATGTGTGCCTGCCACAGCTAAGAGGCAGAGGACATCTTGCGGAAGCAGATGGGCCTGGCCTCCATTCCTGCCAGCTGGAATATTTGGAAGCAGGTCCTGGGGAAGGCACTGCCACAGACCTTGGAGGGTGGTTCCCAGTCAGAGTAGACTTCATCAAAGTAGATGGCCTAACACAGCTTCCTATATTCTGATTGATGTCCGAAATCTAAATGTGAAGGGGAAATTGTAGCTGAATAGGAAATGTGGCTACCTGAAGGTTGGAGAAATGCCAAACAGAGAAGCACACTCTGGCCTCTGGTATCAGCCAGGGGGTCAAGAGATGCTAGGAGGTTGCATCTTGTCTCCCAAAACGATCAGCCTGCCAAGAGGAAGGTCTTCTGACTGCATCCATTGGCCAGAGGAAGAACACCTGGTTCAGTGAGGGCTTTCCCCTCTATCCTCACTTATCTTTCATTTTCTGTTGTGTCTCTCACATTGTGAACCTGTGAGCAGGGAATGTCTTAGTTTTCAAACTCCATACAGCTTCTGTAAATGTTTGGTGCCAACTACTACGACCACCACCACACAATTCAGATGCAGGCAAAACAACTGCATCCTATTCTAAGATATGCATATCTAGTAATATGAATATTTGCCTTCCAACTTGTTGGAACTTCTACAATTGGCTTGGGTACACAAAGCACTTCTGAACTCATCTTAAAGTGCTGGCACATGACGTCTTCAGATTCTGAAGCCTGTGATGAAGTGGGTCTATTTTAAGACTCACTTTTCTGATCATAGTGACAATTTACATGACACAAATGTCAGGAACCACATAAAAATCTGAAACAAAGTGCCAAGGTCAACTCATTATCTTTTGCTGAGAATCTAATTGGGTGAAAAGCAGAAAGAAAGCAAGCAAGCTAAAATATTTCGTGATGGAATATTGGTGCTGTAGTTAAATTTCCTGGATTTTTACCTTTTGGTGGCAGTTTAGGAAAATGATGCCCATTTTAAAAGGTATTTTGCACAGAATATGATAGTAAATTTGATGACTGTTGCCACTGCCTGTTAGTAGAAAGATAATAGTTGAACAGGAAAACTAGGACCGGATGAATCTATCCTTTGGGCAGCCCCCAAATTATGGAATTATCTCCCCATCAACCCCAACTGGCTCCAACTATATTAACTTTTTAGTTAAAATGATCTTTGCTAAGCTACTTACCAATTCCAAATAGCAAAGAAGTCTTGGCTGGTGTTTTTCTACAGGCTTAGCAGGATGGACTGGGTTTAGCTCTTTAATTGTAATCATGGGGTTTAAACATGGTTTTAATTTTAATGCAACTTTTATGATGTTTTATTGATTAATGTATATCTTATTTATTGTATTTATTATTGCTGTGCACTGCCTGAAGACCTTCAGCTACTGGATAGTAATGAAATTCTATAAATACATCTATGTGGTTTGCATTCTACAATTCTCCCTCTCTCTCCCTCTCTCCCTCTCTCTCAAACCCTGTTCAGTCTTGCTTCCATTGAGCTTGTTTAGGAGAAAGGTCAGAATAATATCTATATGGCAGTGCGCTGTGGCAGCTAAGAGTTCTGGACTGAGAATCAGTTTTCAGTGGGGTTGGGTAATAATTTATTTCAGTTAATTTCTGATCAGAATTTACCAGGGGAAAGAACTTGAGGGTCGTGTTTTGTTTTGTTTTTTTAAGAATGTAGGAAAAAGCAAAATTGCAAGTTCCACCCAACCCTTAGTTTCTAGGCAGACAAATACCACCTGGAGCATCCAAAGTCTACAACACTGGAAGAAGCATACATTAAACTTTTGCAGTGTGGTCTGGTGATTAGAGTGGCGGACCATGGTCTTGGGAGATCTGGGTTCTAGTCCCCACTTGGCCATGAAGCTCTCAGGATGACTTTGGACCAGGCGCTGACTCTCCGTCCACCCTGCCTCACAGGGTTCTTGTTGTGAAGCCAAAATGGAGAGGAAGAAAAACTTGTAATCTGATTTTTGTTCTTTGAAAGATGAGGAAAGATGGATTATAAATGTAATGTAGTACTACTAAGAATAATATGCATGTCTCCAATGTACACAGGTGAATATGGATACACACACATATAGAAGGGGTGCCCCGAGCTGAAATTTCTGCCCAGCTGCTGCAATGAGGGACAAAAAAGCTACATCCTCCCATTAAAAAAGGGCACAGTGAGCGTGCATCTCCCTGTAAAATCCCTGTAAAAAATCCAAAATTACCTACTTTGAAAATGCAAGAATTTAAAAAAAGGTGTGTGTTCAAAATCCCTTAATTGCCGATACAGGTACATTTGCAAAAAAAAAAAAAAAGTACCAAATGCATACGTTTGGAAAGATGCATACAAATGCACTGCTTTTAAAAAAGATGTACAAGAAAATGAGTACATGTTTTCATCTGAACTAACCAATCAATAAATAAATCCACAATTGGATGCAGAACTGAAAACAGAAAAAAATAACTCTCGGCTTTGGGAAATCAATTCCGACAGATTAGACGACTCGTGCTTTTGCTGCCCACTGGTTCAGGCATGGCAGATCTTTCCACTCTTGGTCACAATTCTGTAACAGCAATGTTCTAACTATCCATCCCTTCCCTTTCCAGCCCTGCTGGCAACTCTGAAAGGAGATGGGAAGCATCCCAAGGATGCGAGTATGGGAGGTGGAAAACATCTCAAGGTTACTAAATACCAATACTAATTCTAAATGTTACACCTGGGATCCAAAGTCTGCTGCAATTCCCATGTCCAACTACAAAAATACAATAGAGCTAACATCATTGCTAAGCCTAAGAATGGCCATAAAACAAGGTAAACTTAGTCCTAGACCTGCAAAAGGTATGCAAAGAAGGAGCTTGTGTTTGACAAGGAGGAATCAAAGATATTATGCACCCCTGATTCCTGTGTCTGGCTCTTTGGTGTGGGCTTTCTTCCATAATAATGCCATACAGAGAAACTCAGGTGGGCTTAAGCTGCCTGGAAATCAGAGGGACATGATACCTGTTGCTTCTGGTTCAAGTCCATGCAAATGGAATCAGTAGTTCATGGGCAGGCTGCCCACCACTCAACTCCATTCCCCTTCCTCTGTTTTGCTTTTGTCCCTTCTCTCTGCTAACATTTGACTAGCATTCTGTGTCCATTGAAGGTGCCCAGGCTTGGTTTGTTTTGGTTTTGGTTTTGAAGTTGTGATGGGCAGGTAATTAATTCCCTGTGGATTAATCCATTCTGCTTGGTCTGGCCAAGTTTTGCCTCCTGCAAACACACCACTGCATTTCATGTGCCCACCTTGCCAAGGGGGATGCCATGCTGCTGAAATACCCCAGCACTTGGTTCTGGCTGGCAGCAGCTGAGAAATAAGCCACCTTTCCTCTTTAAAACAAGCCCCATGGTGGCTACCAAGGGTAAGAAGGAGCCCCGGAAGAGTGGAATCTGCCGTTAAAGAAGAGGCTTACCCACCACATTCTTTGTTTTACACACCACCAAGACTCAGCACCAAATCAGTGCCTCTTTGGGGGTGAGAGAAGCCACAAAACAAAACCCACCGTCCTTAATTGCCATAAACAGCACATTTGTGTACCGTGTGATTACAAGCATATTCTTTACTTTTCTTTTCTATGCCCACTTTTCCCCAAACAGCCAGAAATATCCACCCTGAGACATTGTGAAGGGTGGGATATAAAAGCTATACATAAATGAATGGATAAATAAATATCTGCAAATACCCACGCAACAGTTTGCATCATCATGGGGATCCAAATCATTGTTCACCAGGAAGCAAACCCTTGCACATGGAAAGCGCTAAGGCTGCCGCCTGGAAAATACTCGGATGGGAGACGGCGCTTGCGTTGCAGAGTGCAAGCTGCCTTTCGGAGGAACTTGTGCTGAGCTATTGCGCTTCTCAATGGGGCTCTTCTATGATGCTTCTGAAGAACCTATAGAAGACACCCTCGTGAGTCCCCTCACCTGTGTCCCGGGATCACACCTGAAGACACACAAGACATTTTCTAGCAGACATACGTATCCTTGTTTTGCTGCTGTTCCTGACACAAGTGAAGGCAAAACAAAATGATTTCTCTTACAGGACATGATGGGATGGCTGCCAAAGGCAATATGCGGGGGGATCCCATATCCCGGATGTGCGTGTGTGACATTTTTATATGGGGGTCCCGGTGGTGAGGAAGCAGAGACAAACCCTGCCTCCAGAGCTCTGTATTTTGCACAGCCCGCAGCAACGGAAGCAGTGCATCAGGCCATTTCACAAATCAACAGACTCATAAAACAGTAGAGCTGGAAGGGGCCACGAAGGCCATTGCGTTCAGCCCCCTGCTGTTGCAGGACACCCCGTCACACCATCCCGCTCAGATGGCTATCCAGTTCCTTTTGCAACGTCTTGAATGTGAGAGAGCCAAGACTACAAAGTGGCATTTATAAAAATGCCTAATCCGTTTTTCTTTGAACAGCGATGTCTTTTGAGGACTGCTGCGTAGCTCACAAGGTAGTAGATTTTGTGCCATTCATGGTACTTTGATAAATGAATGTGATATCTGTCTATATATTTCACTTTTCTCCCCAAAATGTGCAAAGCATATCACAGTATAAGGATGCAGTCTGTCCTCTGAGCAATTGTCGGGGACGAGCACTGCCACTTACTTTTGAGATCTAGGTTTCTTGCTCCTGCCGTGCTCTGGGTTGTAATTTTTGTGTCGATCTTCACTGTATGGAGGTTATTGGTGTCCCGTGAAATCATCACGTTGTGCCACTGGTTGTCATTCAGCGGTTTATTGGAACTTCCCTTGATAAGGTTTGCACCGTTTCCCAGATCAAAGACATAATGTAAATACCTGAAAAGAGGGAGCAAAAATAGCCATGCTTATTAACTTATTTATTATATTGGTATCATGTCTTTTTATGGCAAGGGCACAGTTCCTTCCATTGCGGCTGCAAGGGTGGCCAAGGGGCAAGCTAAAATCAGATTCCCAGCTCCAACCTCCAAGCAAGTTTCTGAGATCAGAGCGGAGACTCCAAAAACTGCCACAGCCCTCTAGACTCTGTCTAGCAGCTGAATGTGATCCATTAATGGTGCAGTTCAGGGTCAGACATGGATATGGTTTTGGAGTGCTTAACATCCTTTCAGTACAGTTGAAGGAAGCAATAGGCTTTACTCTTTCAAGGGATATTGGGTGAGATTATTATTGTTGATATTGTTGTTGCTGCTGCTATTATATAAATGAAATAATAATTATTACTATTAATTACTATTAATAAATAATAGTAGCAGTAATAATTCATTACTATACTGCCCTGTAGCCAAAGGTCTCTGGGTGGTGTATAATAAGGTATAAAACAAAGTAATAAAATCCAGTACAAATACCATAATGTTAACAGTATTAAAATTAATTTAAAATAGCTTTAAACTACCGTGCTCCCCTCATATTGCCATGCAGGTATAGCGTGAAGAACTGAGGAGGCCAGTTTTGCACCGTTCTAGGTTTCCAAAATTCTCAATATGTAAGCCGGAATCATATTCCAAAAGAGACAGGAGTTCTTTCCTTTGGGGATACAATATAAAGTAGTGTAACTTGGCCACCAATTTAGATGGGTTTAAAAAGTGATTGGGCAAATGCATGAAGGTGCTCAATGCCCACTAGCCTTTTTGGCTATGTGCTAACTGGCATCAAAGGTGACATGCCTGCGTATAGCAGTAGAGGAGATCAGGCACATGGGAATCTTGTACTCCTCCTGCTGAGGGATCCTGTGAACAGAATGCTGGACGGGATGGGCCTTTGGTCTGATCCAGTGGGGCTTTTCTTATGTTCCTCTCCATTTTATTCCAAATGTCATGGCTTTGTACAACTTACCCTAGGAACTGTACTTTCTAGAGGAAAGTAAAAGTTATTTGCTGGAATTCTAGCCCTTCACACAGAACTACTGGCACTGGGTTTCTCTGGAGAGGCGGCACGTAGCTATGGAATATTTACATCCAAATAGTGTATGTGATCTCAGAGTTTTCAATGCCTCTGCTTGAAAGACCTATGAAAAGCCCACCTTGCAGGATCAGACTAAATTTATATCTCAGTCTCCTCCTATCTCGTGCTCTTCAGACTTCAACTCCCAGCATTCCCAACCAGAAGGTAGTCCAGCCTTCTGCCAATGAACACAGAAGTTTTATTCAACTTCCATGACTCATGTCATCAGCTCATGTTACCACTCTGTGGTTTGCATACACACCCTTTCACTAACTCGACCACGATAAAGTCATTCCCGTCCCCACTGTTGTAGAGTATTAGCCCATCCAATGATGTTGTTTTGAACTGGAAAAACAGGTGCATGGAGGTGTAAGCTTGCAACGTGGCAAGGGCAACATAGCTGGCTTTCGTCTTAAAGGTGACCGGATCAGCGATGATGTTTCTGAAGCCAAACCGGGCATTTAGTTCGCAGTAATCAATGTCCCCATTTTTACACAAGTCTATGTATGCCATGCCATTGAAAGTGAGGCTCTGCAGGTGGCCAATGAAGTTGGAAGGGACAGAGGACAAGTAACGGCGTTCCGTTATGATTCCCGTCTCTATGTTGTGGAACTCCAGTCTGGTGTGATCCCCGGCCATTTGACCTTCAAATGAAAAGGAGTTTGGAGAAGTTAGTGTCCAAAACTAACATTAGTGCTGATTCAAGAACTCAGTTTGTGAGGTCCAGTCTTGCAAAACTCATGACCTCCATGTTCATATTTACATCACGATACATCTGAAGAGTGCCTGTTAGAGCTACACGTTGCTTGCCCAAACGGACTGGATATGTTAAAACCCACTTTACCTTTGAGACTAACTTAAATACCTAACAAATAATCAAATATCAAATGCATTCAAAAGTAAGCAGGAAAAAGATATGTGAGAGAGGTGGGGAAAGAGAAAAAGAATCCCAGGAAATAGAAGTAACCAGCACAAAAAGTTGGTAAACAAAGCAGAACATGCCCCAATTTCAAACATCTCCTGAATCCAGGGGTGCACAGTCTCCTGAATCTTGTGAATGCTCAGCCCAAAGGAAAAATCCTCAAGCGCACTGGTCAAGGCACCTGCTTCCTTCATTTCTTATGTACTACCAGGAGATCTGCTAACTGCAAAACTCAAGAGACAGTGTCGGTAAAGGATCTGTCCACATTTTGGGATGGAGCAAATTTTGCATCCACTTTTTCAAGAAATTTCTTTGGCGGTTACGGAAATAACGCACATATAGATTTTGAGTTATGATACTCCGATCCATTGCATAATTTTAGGCACAGGCTCCTTGCAGGCTTTCCAGATGCAAAAATGATTCCCAAAGCCCCAATTCGTCTGGAGTTCAGAAGGCAGACCTGACGACATGGACTAGCGGCTTCAGCAAACAAGGTTGGCACTCCAGGGCTAGGCATGGGTTCGGTAGTACAAGTGCAGAAGTAAGACAGTGATTCAGTTCTGCTGACACACCTTAGCTCACCTTAGGGTGACTGAGCAAGCCTCAGTTTGGACAATGCCCAAACCTACCAGTTCAATCCACCAGCTCAGTCCAGTGGGACAGGCTGGTGTTTGTCCATTCTTGGCTGATGTTCAAAGCTGTGAGGAGCAGGAACAACCTTGATATACTTTTGCACTCGAAAGGACTTCAAATTCTTATATTGTTGGACTGAACCAATCTTATCAACTTCACTTCACCCTTTGCAGATTGGAGAGAGGTGGAAACAGGGGAAATTGTTTGACCTCTCAGGGCAAATGATTCTCACAGCTGCCACTGATGCCAAGGACTGTACCTCCCCCTCCAGTGCTTTTTACCTAGAGGACTCCAAAATGGGGGCAGAGAAGATTGCTTCCCACTCTTCTCACTGCAATTGGATTGTGTGATGTTCTACAGCTGCAAAGTGGATGCATTCCCAAGAACCCCCTGGCCTCTGCACAGCCACTGGCCACAAGCCAATGTCCCTATCAACTCTGGTTCTAGCAGAGGTTTGCAAGCAAAAGCTTTGATCCAACATTTTGTGTGGAAGTGTGAGCTTCATCCACTCTCATCTCTATTCCTCCTGGTCATATATATTCCCATCTTTGCTCCACTTCCTGCTTCTGTCCTCCTCATTCGCTTGGACCTTTTCTTCTCCCAACACTTTCTCCTGTAGGACTCTAAGGTGCTTTCCCTCCACCCTTCCTTATGGCTTCCATAAGGCTGACATGGCAGGGCCATTGGCCAGAGCAGGAGCAGTTGCATGAAGCTCACTCCTTCTGGCTGCTAGGAAGGGCCCTCAGCTCCAGCCAACAGGGCCTGCAGAAGGAAGGGGGAAGAAGACCCTGGCCCCTCCACTGGCCAAAGGAACAAGAGCCCCCATTGGCAAGAGCACGGGTGAGGGGAGGCCGGCCTGGCCTGAGGTACATTTCAATGCCCACTTCAAGCTCACCACTCTGCTCTTGAAAAACTCATCTCCCTTTTCCTCTTGTCCCTCTTTCCTCACTCCCTTGTGTTTCTTGCCATTTAGTACTAGTTGTTGTTGTAGAAATTCCTGCCTTGGGAAATAATTATTGGAAAGTGGGATAAAGCAACAGCAAATCGGTAATCAACATAAGCATCTTTAGGGTCTTGGGAGCAAGCTGAGGTCGCTAGAATTTGTAGGCCCTTGGAGTGACCTTCAGAACCTCCCACTGGCCTTCAAGGAAGAACTGAGCCTCTCTGGGACTGGCAGGTAACAGATCCAATCTGTATCCTGGCCTTCACCTTTGCTCCCACCACCACCACTAGAATGGAGAGATCTAGCGAAGCATCGCTATGTTTATTACCTGTCATGGCTTGTTGGTCATCCACCATTAACTTTAAACTTTTTCCTCTTCGAACCACACGTACCGTGTGCCATTCATTGTCATTGAGGTTATAGCCAGCAAAAAGGGTTTCTGGACCTTTGCCTGTAGGGTATGCCAAACAGTTATTATGGAATCTTTAAATCAGTCAACAAAGGAGCCTCACAGAGAGAAAGAGAGAGAAAGAGAGGGAGAGGGAGAGAAATGAAAGAGAGAAACTGGCTGGGGCAAACATTTTATACAGCATTTTTGAGACACAGTAAGTGGAAAGAGTGTCACAGCCTACATGGACTTCAACTGACAAGTATGTTATCTTGCAACATTTGTAGACTATATTTTAAAAATGGCAAGGTTGGTGAACTGAGCTTTCATAAATGGGCACAGTCAATACAGAGCGTTGTGTGTGTGTGTACGAGGGCATCAATGCCCAGGTTCTCATTTATAGCAAAAGTGCTAACAAAGAATGACTCATCTTTGAAACTAACTTTAGGCTGCGGATGACTAATCATTCCATTACCACCACCACCCAGCATATTGCGAGTGGGAGGAGAGAGACACCACTGACCATGCAGTGTACATTTGGCATGAATTTGATTGCATTCATAAGTGGGCTTAATGGAATTTCCTAGCATTACTTCTTTCTATTGCAATCAGAAGCTCTAAACTGAAGACCTGTGAGTGGATCACAGATCTATGGATGGGTCAGAACTTTGGCTTCCCAATAAGCAGTGGAGGGGGGGGGGCGCACCCTCATCTCTTAGGGAGGTGGTGGGTTGTCCCACATTGCTGGCATTCAATGAGCCAGCCGTCTCAGGGACGCTTGGAGTCCTGCACTGAGCAGGGGGTTGGACCTGGTGGCCTTGTAGGTCCCTTCCGACTCTCCTGTCCTATGATTCCATGATCCTCATCCTTATGTGAAGCGCAAGGATGGCCCAAGACATTTTGCTGTCTCCGGCAAAGAGCAAGGTGCCAATCTCTCCCGTTTCATATATAAAAGCTGGGTGAGCAGGGGGCAGAGATGGCTGACGAGCCAGGAATGGAACGGCTCCCCCTTCCTCCCACTGGATGTAATGCCGCCCATGTTTTATACACACATTGCGCCTACTGGGAGTGCGTTGGCAGAGGGAACAATGTGCTCACTTGTCAACATAGTCAATCTGTCCCCTGCCTTCCAGCCCAGCCCAGGCCTGCGTTTCATGTTCCCTTGAAAGGCAGCATAAAGATCTGGAAACCAGGCCTGCGGGACGCGGAATGGGCGCAAGCTGGACTTTCTTCCTCCTTCCTGCCTTCTCCTGCATGCCATTCAGAAACAGAATGTGTTCAGGGAGGTCTTCACCTGTCATTACTGTGTGGCAAGCAGGAAGATGGTGTGAAAAGAAGACGTTAGAGTGTGGAGGGTGGCCATGAATCCTCTAGCAAGAGGGAACCTCATGCAAAAACAGGCTTTCTCTCAGTCGGCAAAGCGGAGGCAATAAGTGTCGGTCTGTTTGCAATGTTCACTGTGCTGGCTGGATGGATTTCCTCCTTTTTGTCGATGGAAACTGGTTGTTTCACATGCCTAGCTGCATGCGGCTACAGATGGACTGAGGGCATCACTTGTGAGGGTCTGGAGATGTTCTACCAGGGAATTGTGATCCTAGACCCAGCAAAATTATTTTGCTAATCAAGAAGAATAAAGCTGCATCATGTAAATGTGACTGTTCTGTCAGTATCTGAGCTAGTCACCTAAAGTGTTCAGAAATCATCACACTGGAGCATTAATAATTTAATATTCATTCCATCCATCCATCCATTCATCCATTCATTTGCCTTTCCTATGTGCTTAAACAAACAGAACTGGAATTTGCCCAAAACAAGTTGGGAGTCATAACAGTCAATTTGAGAATCACCTTTTGGACTTACCCTTCAATTTATATTTATATTCTAGTCTCTGATCAATTATCTGGGTGAAATGAAAATTAAAATGTATAATTAAATTATACATATTAACCTGACTGTCTCCACTGTGATATGACTGCTAATGTCAATTACACTGCACTATAATGTAAGAATGATTGTGTATAAGAGATCTCTAGTACAACACCAACAACAATAGTGTGATGGCTTTTGGGGGCAATCCTGTCATGCGAGTTTATGCTACCAAATCACACTAAAGGTTCCTTAAGCTCACACAGTGCAACTGACATTAGGTTGATGTCATATGGATACTGCTCCTTCAGTTGGGTCCAAATTTTGGTGCATGCAATTGGGTAGCCCTTCCACCCCCTTCCAGAAATGCTGTACAGAGGGCTGAAGGACCACACTAAACTGGTAAGACAGGAAGGTACAGGAAGAAGGGGATGAACCCTGAAAGCTGAGCAGATGCAATTTCCATGAGAGATTCTCTTCTGCCCATACCAGACAATTCTAGATCCAACACATTGTCAATGTAGTTTCCTAAATACTCTTCTGTTGATTTATGTAATTCCCTAAGATTACTTGGATATAGTTGGATATGGTTGCTCTTGGAGCACATTCCAAAGACCTTCTGATCGGGAGGAGGTGGAGCAGCAGGAAGATGCCTCAGAAAGTGGGCCAATTCCAGATGTTGAGATGAAAGAAGCAGAGGCGATCGTCTCAAGGCCAGTCTTCCCAGGTGCTCAAGCAGCCTCTGAGTTATCCAAGATGTACAGGTAGAGGGAGGGGGCTTGGAACATGGGAGTTTCTCAAAGGCAGATGAAGTGGGTACAGCTCTCAACCCCACGGTGCAATGTTGGCAAAGGACGGCAGCCCAGTTGAAAGACTGGCATGTAGAAAGGAGGTGTGCTTGCTTCCAAAAGGTCCTCATGAAAGGATGAGGCCCAAACATACTCCTAAGGAGAGTTCTTAGGCGTAAACACTCGATTGGCTTCAATGAACTGCCCTGTCTGTGCTCAGAGATTCACTCTGGGTGATTGAGCTCCTGGAAGATGCTTTGCTCAAGAAGGGACATTTTGCAAGAGAGGCCTGCAGCTCTGCCTGTGCAGAGGGAGGCAACCTAGCTCACAACTGATGTGCCTATTTGCACATAATCTCCATATGCATGGGTATGATCAGCAGTTTATGCACACCCTCCATTAACACTCTTCATACAACATCTCTTTCTGAGCTTGGTGAGGAATCATTCATCATCTAGTAACACACATTTGTCATCCAACCCAGAAAAGCGTCAAGCGAGGCAGCCTCTTAAAATTCAGTGTAGCTAACTTCTTTGGATTTCTAAAAAGAACATCTCCATGATAATGATTTAGTCATAAAGTTTTACTGTAGTGCTCTAGTAATGTATAATTTTCTGATTAATAGGCGAGGGATAATAGATGCTCTGCCTAAGTGAGAGCTTGCCCTGATGAATTTATTCCCTGATAAACCTGCCCATTCATTTACCTGGTTTTCCAATGCATTTACTGCAATGGGATGGTTGAGTCATGCAAGGCAAATGCGGATTGCTAAGGAGCAGCTGCTCTTATCTTTCTGACATTTTACAAATAAAACTCCCTTCCAAATCGAGAGTGGACCCATTGAAATCAATGAGGTGAGGTAGTTATGAACAGTGTAGTCCCCACCGATTCCAATGCATCTACTGAAGGGGTGACCATGCTTGAATCCCACTCATTGCTTTCTCAGATCAATCTGAGCCACCCAAACCTATTGTCTCTATCAGGAGCCCAGAACCTCACACTGGGGGTCCAAGTACGATCCTCCTGGGTTCTTAATTTGGTTTTCCTACCTTCTGTTACTACCCACTTCCCATGTCCCCATCTCTTTACTGCCAATGACCTATCTTGTGCTGGTTTCCTGGCTTTTGCAAAGTTTTTTTTTCTTCCATCCTAAATGGCTGAAACATCTCTCTTAAGGTTTACTGGACAGCAGAATGAACATTCTAAAATATGCTGACATAGGAAGCTGCTTCCAACTGAGCTGGAGTCCATTTATCCCAGTATTGTCAGCTCTGGCTGGCAGAAGCTCTCCGGGTTTGGGGCAATTTTTTCCCAGCCCTACGCAGAGATGCCAGGGATTGAACTAGAGAATTTCTGCATGCAAAACCTGTACTATGTCTGTCATTTCAGGATCTTCTCTGAAATGACATTTAACCGTCAGGCTGAATGAGGTTCTGCACCCCCTGACCTGCAGTAGCTTTCTCCAATGTGATGCCCTCTAAATGTTTTGGAGTACAACTCCCAGCATCCCCAACTATTGGCCATGTTAGCAGGGGCTGATGGGACATGGGAGCGGAACACCAGACCACCTGTAGGGCACCGCATTGGGAAAAACTGACCCACTTGAGCCACATTGCAAGCCTTAATGTGGCTTCCTTGCCTAGGCCCAGCTTGGCCCTCAGTAGCTGCACACAATTCCGCTTGCATTAAACATCTGCTTCTTCTTCCTGATGATTCTGCCATTCCTGCAGTTCTCCTGTTTTTCCAAAGGTGGATGAAAAAAGCAGCCATGAGCCATTGCGGGCAGGAACGAACGAGACTGGTCCCAGCCGGGAGAGGTTCTACTAAAATCCCCACAAGCTTTCCATCAGAGGCTTCCGGAGACATTAAAGCTGACCTGGGGCTGCAGGAGCGGAGCACTGCTTGTGTGATGGGTTCTGGCCATCCCTCTTTTCACCTGCAGACCTGGCCACCTGCAGAATTCCTCCTGGTGGCAGAGGATGCTGCAAAGGGGGCTGGAGGGGGAGGGTGGAAGAGTCGGAAAGCGGGAGGGGGCTTGAGTGGGTGCGGGTGCCTTCTGCTTTCAGAAGAGAGCCTCCAGACCGAAGCCGGTGGCCCAGCTCTGATGATCATCTGAAGTTCTAGACCATGATTTGGGTGATCAGGAACCTGTCTTGGGTTTGCACATGCTCTTGCTTTTGCACACAAGGTAAGAGCGGATATTTCTGTATTTGCTCTGTGCAGGAGGGGTGTGTGTGTTCTGGATTGGATATGAATGGGAGGTGGTCCCCTAATTCAACTTGGCTGGAAAAGCCAGTTTCTCGAGTTTCTATGCAATGTGGAATTCCTTACAGTTCAGATCTGAATTGATGAACTGGGCTATAATCTTCCAGGTACTAAATTTTTCTCTGCCCCTTCCCCCTTTATTTA